CCACATCCACATCCACACCGACACACCCACATCCACATCCACACCGACACACCCACATCCACATCCACATCCACATCCACACCGACACACCCACATCCACATCCACACCGACATACCCACATCCACATCCACACCGGCACACCCACACTCTCAAGATTTGATCTTATATCTTATATGAATATATTGACATTCGTTTTACCAAATATTATTCTTATCGTTTTGTATTACCTTTTAGTGAGTTATGTACATCGAATTTCATCAAGTATCAATGGCAATCACCAATTACGAATGCGGCGAGATTTGATAATAGTTCGTCGCATCATATTGCTCAACTTTCAATTAGTTCTCGTCGGCATTCCAGCGATGTATGCGGATTTTAATCATGATTGCGGATATAGCGTTGGCTTTTCTATTTATTGTTCTCTGCCAAAATACACCAAATTTTCGACGAAATGTTGCTGAGTTTTTCAAATTAATACCTGGTTTTCTAATAAGCACAGCTAATTGGGTCAGACCATTTACAGACCGTCATCGTTTTTGAATTTTGTTGTATTATGATTTTGTTCATAAAAAAAATTAAACCGGGTATCTCAATCGAATTTTTTACTATGTTCACTTTATACATCAATGAGCAATAGATTTAATGAGTCAATAAAGGCGAACTATGTATCGAGTAATTGACTAAGTGATAATGCACATAGACCAATGCTGCATTCAAGCAACTCATACAAATGACACCGATAAGTATAAATACATATTTGACATGATTATCGTCGTATCAACTAGTCATCATGAATATGGGTAATGTGAGAGAAAAGACGACTACCAATTTCAATGTAATGCGAAACACGTTGAGTTGAATTTATTTTTAATTTTCTATAATATTTGCTATTAATCAGTGTTGATATATCGAACACGACAAAGAAAACTCTCATTTCTCGTACAGATCGTGAGAAGTTTTTTTTTTCTGAGACATTGTTGTCTACTAACTCTCTCATACATGATGATCAATGTTTTCTTTCTCCTTTTTGTTCAGATTCGAATATTTCAATTTTCGTCACTCGAATAGTTTAATCGTTTGAAATTGTTTTCTTCTGTGTTTTTAATATCGTAGTTCTCTTGATTAATTACTTAAATGGTAATTTATTAACTAATCAAGTTTATAAATAAATTTAAAAATCAGTTAATAACATTTATCAATAGTCAATTAAAATGGTCAAATATAACTAGAAAACAGAGATGGACGGAACAACTAAAAAGTTATCCCGCCACCGCAGTGTGAGTGTGGGATCTGGGTGTTGATCTTCTCATCAAAACTCACACCCCATTGGGCAATTCGAAATTTGAGCAATATTTTTTTTTGTCATAGTCGGATAGAACTCGTCGAGTTAGCTAGAGAATTGTTGTTTTTCACAAATCTAGACCACATTTTTGTCGCAAAACTTAAGCAAATTTAACTTTAAGGAAAATAAAGAAAGTCTATAATAATTGAAATACGTCAAATGCATCAAGTCTCGATAGTGTCAATATTTATCCAATTTTTTTCCCATCTTACTCGGCATATACTTAGGAAGAAAAGTTACTTATGCTTGTAATTAACTTTTACTCTTCTTATAGCACACATCTGAACTGTTTCAAACTAGCAAATTAGTGTATATTTAATATACGATAAATATACACTAGTTTGCTAGTTTGAAACAGTCCCGATGTATGTTATACGAAGAACGAAAAAAACATTCGACGGTTACGTCATATTGTCACTATTGAATAGTGCTATCTATCATTTTGATAGTCTATTCTTTTCAACATGGACATTGCCTTTTACTAATTTTTGCTGTTATTAAAAAAACTAAATAAATTTTATAGAATTTGTTGCTTTTTTGCTATCATATCCAAAAAGTCGAATTTTTCAACAGTTAATTATCAGCATAAGTAACTTTTTTTCCTAAGTATATGATGAGTAAGATGGAAAAAAATTTGGATAAATATTGACACTACTGAGACTTGATACATTTGGTGTATTTCAATTTTTATAGACTTCCTTTATTTTCCTTAAAGTTAAATTTGCTTAAGTTTTATGACAAGAATGTAAAAAAAATATTGCTCAAATTTCGATTTGCTGGCACTTTAAATAGATTCTGGTTTTTTTCTTGGCTAGAAGATTAAAATAAAACAAAAAACACTTTAAACAATATAAAAAAAACGTTATTGAAGTTTTCTGCACGAATTCTAATTAGTCTTTAGTTATTCAGTTTGGTTACGACTTTCTAATGTTGCATCATCATTATTTCCAACATAAACGGTTCTTTTAGGAAGATTATTGGCTTTCGTATCTTTAATTTCTTTTTTCGCCGCTTTAATCTCTTTGACATATTTATCTCTGTTAGGTATATTATTATAACCTTGTCCATCTTCTTTAATCCCCACAGTAGAATACAGTTCTAGATTAACTTTTCTTAATTGTTCATAACCTAGAGATTGACTTGTTTTATGATTGGACATGTTGATAGTTTGATGTAATATTTCTTCACGTTTCTTATGAGTAGAAGCTTGTAATCGCTGAAGAAGTTTTGTTTTAGCAGTTTCTGATTTCATTGTTAACTCTTCAAGGTTAATATTTGAATGAGAAAAAACGTCTTGTTTTTTCGCTTCCACTTGTTTTTGTAATAAATCTATATATCCTGCTGTTTCTGTTTGTAATTTATCAATGAAATCCTCTATTTGTTTTCGATAATATGTTTCTGTTTGATTCATTTGTGTACGACCATCTTTTATTATATCATTAATAATATTCTGTCGTGCTTGTACAAGTCGATTGATCTCTTGTTGCTCCTTGGATGAAATTTTCAATAAACACTCTTGAAGAATTTCATCACCCTGTGTAGCAATAGAATGGAGATTGGATAGATATATATCAATCTCTTCTGAAACGGATGAATTAATACAACCATGTATTTCATTTTGAACGTCTGCAATAATATCCCATGAACTCCCATGACGATGATATTTTTGTTGCCAACTTTTATTTTGTGTTTCTTTCTGTTGAAGGTTTGTACTACTTGGTAACTTTCCTTTTGATGGAATGCTAGGATTTATTTTAAGCTATAACACAAAAAGATAATTAGTTCTATATATTTTTTTTCTTTTTATTTAATCAATTGAGAAATTAGAAAAAAAACTAATTAGAGGATAATTGTTTATTTCATGCAATTAGAAAAATAATATGATAGAAAACGAATCGAGTTATTGAATGACAAGTGAAACAAATCAATTCAATAGAATCTGACAAGTGTAAGAGTAACAAAAGCTTGTTTGTGCAACTCCATTGAGGCTAAAATGTGGAGCTCATAGATTTTTTTAGTCTCATTATACTTATCTAAAATACGTCAAATGAAAAATCTCTCGCATTTATATTTTGCATTTCGAACACTATTTTTTTCTTTTCTTTATGGGTACTCTATTTTTTGTTTACCTTATTGCTATTTGCCCGTTATTTTTCTTTTTCACATTCCGTTTTTCATAACTTAATATTACTAATATTCTAACTATTGATTGAACTGGCAAATAATCCTGTTATACATATTGATCATCTCTCAAAGGTAGAAATCAATCAATTCAATTTTTATCTGCGCAAAAATAAAAATCTGTATTATTTAGAACATTTACAAACTTATTCTAGTCATTCAAATTTCAATGAAAGCTTTAAAATATTCTTAAACAATTGAAACTTTGTCGTTAATGCCATTCAGTACTTTTTCTGATGCCTATGGTCCACAGTTGCTAAAGTCTATAATAGGAGTGAGAAGTCGAAAAACTTTGGCTCAAAACTCACACTCGCTAGTTTCTTCGAAAGATATGTGAGTTCCACAAAAGAAACTGGACTCATGATGGAAGATTCCTAAGTTTAAATTGCCAATTGAGCTGACATTTTGCCTAAGAGTAGGCTCCGACAAGACTAGTAGAAATCTGTAAGAGTTCATCCCGATACGTTGTACTCGCTAAGTTATTACAATTTTACTGAATTTTTTAAATTTCTGACAAAGTATTTCATCAGCCCCATGAGCATGTGTTGTTCTTGATATATCGAATGTTGAAAACATTAGGCTTTCTTACTTTTTCTTGTGATGGATAATTTTTGTTTTAGATATTCAATATCTGAAGAACAACATATCGTTTTGGGCTGAATTTTTTAGAACATTCAACGATCCACGAGACTGACTTATAAGAAAAAGATAAGTTCGATTGGTGGATTACGCTTGGGAAGATTCCTTCGTTAGAGATGCCATTTTCTTCTGTCAGATAATCATTTCTCTTAATGATTGTAAACAAAGTTTTTAAAAAAGATTCATACATTATGTTAATAATCAGCAACTTATAGTCCGATACAAAACGGTCGATGTTGGTGTAGAGTTTTTCTTGCTCAATTTCCTATTGTAGATTTACAACGAACATATTAACTGTCTTCACAGATTAAAGTAAGGCAAAATTGAAATACCAATTAAATGGACTGGAATAATAGAGTATGTTTATATTGCATGATGAGTATCATAGATATTCAGTTACGACTCACATTTATGCTATGTTCTTCTTTTTCTTTCATCTCTAGCATCTCTTAGATTTCTAACTATGTAATAATAACGAATGAAAAAAATTCTCTAAATAAATTTACATTTTTCTTTTAAAACGGTAGATGTTCGAAGAAAAAAAATTAGAATAGAAATCATATTTTACTTCGATGTTTCTGTTAATAATGGTTGAAAAATCTGCATTTTCAACAATTTGGTACAAGCTGGTTACATCTGGTGATCCGATTCTGAGACTTGGTTTTGGTTGTGGTGGTGGCTGTTGTGGCGGTGGTTGTTGCGGAGGTGGTGGCGGTGGTAATCGTGGTGGTTCTACAAAAGGTTTATTATTAAAAGAAAACTAATGATGAGAATAAGATAAATATTTATTGAAATCTGACCTCATTGCTACTGTTGATGTTGACAGTAGTTATCAAGGCTTATTATTTAACGGCTGATGCAAAAGTTCTATTATGTTTTACTTCTTTACAACGGGCATATCCTGAAACAACACTAAAATGTAGTCTTTAAAAAGTAACTGGCAATGACTATGAAAAAATGAGACAATATTTCAGTATTTTTTGAATTTCTTCTATACATTCTATCGTACTTTGTCGCTCTTTTCTTCATTATATTCATTGTTTAATCTTCTATGAGCCTGTTAGAAACCAATAGAGCATCGCTTAAAGATCGACTTCTTTATATGTAGACATTGCGAGTTATTTATTACAGATCATATTTTAGTATTATTTCATGATGTGCTTGTTATGCAAAAGACAAGACATAATGGAAACTTCTTGGATATATACTTGCATATCACTTTCAGCGTAGATTCTAAATGTATATTTTTGATTTCTAGAACATATTTTGGTCTATAAAAAATGCAATAAGATTTTCTTAGGAATCTTTGCATGAGCCATTAAAATAACTAATGATTTGAATATGACAAATATTTACAAGAAGTTGAACTCACTGTACCTATTGAAATCTGAGTAAATTTATCATGGTTCATATCACAGCAGCAACAACAGAGACAGCAATCTCGACTACACCAGTACCAACGACAACAATACCAACTAAAACAATAGCAGCGGCACACTGTCCAACGACAACAGTGTGCACCCATGATTAATGATTATCTAGAAAAAAATCAAATATAAATATTCATTTAAACAATCATCTAACGCCATCGAAACATTAGAAGACCTACTTGAATAAATGAAGCAGAAGAGATATTAGAAGACCACACCCTGAAAATCGATTTTTAAAAATAATTTCTGTAACCTATTGATCTTTATAGTATTTCCAGGTCAATGATTTCGGCCTACAGATACCGCAGAAACCCGTCGAAAACAGTAGTGTAAAACTTGAATTCAACTAAGATTTCAACTTTTAATTTTCAAGCTCCAATTATTATTGCCTTTCCAGTGGTGACTTTTCAAGTTCGACATATCAGTCCTTCAGCCGACAATGTTGATCTGGCTAGTGTCCACTGATGAGCATGCCATTTTCGATTGACGTGATATAGAATCATGAAAACTTTAGGATAGATATATCTTGAATTGCGTTACAAAACAAAACAGCTCCGAGCTCTAGATGTCGCTAGTAGTACTAAATCATCAATCAATATATGTTGTGTAACCGATTCTTCAACATTGAAACTTTTAAGGTGCTCCAAATGCAAAAACAGAACAAAAAAAAAATTTTCTTGATTTACACATGATTTGATAGAGCTCGTTGATATGTATTTTTTTATTGTGTTTTGATCAAATTTTGGATATAAAATCTTAAAAACACTAAAAAATGCGTAAAAAATGGACAAATGACTATTTTGGAAAAAAAATTCAAAATTTCACTCCTTTACACTCATAATAATTTTCTAAAACTATTTTATTTGGATTCAGCACCTCAAAGTGAGTATTATCACGTAGGTTTGAGTGATTTCGAACATGTTAATCGATTTCTATAAGACCAATAATGATTAAAAAAAATGACATAGTGATACCCTTCTCCCGCAAAATCTATGTAGTCTTTTATTTGAAAAGTTTTCCTCAATATTCTTACATCAATCGAATCATCATCTAAAATCGAAGAAAAGTACGTATTTGTTTGAAAAAATTTTGTTCTCTGGCTGAGAAATACCATTGTCTTTAAACCAAGGCCTGTATAAAACTCAAATCCTGCCCGTAAGCTTCATTTTCGTCACCAATATTCGATTTTTATGCAATAAAATTGTGATATTCAGAATCAGCATAAAAAACTTAGTCGAATAGGCTGTGCTTCAAATCATTTAGCTAACTTTCGATTTTTGACGTTTGAGACTGAAAATTGGAAAAAAAATGAAAATGCTCAGAAATTGTTGATTTCTATCACATTCGACTATGGTTTTTATGCTGATTCCGAATGTCACAATTTTATTACATAAAAGTCGAGTATTGGTGGCGAAAATGAAGTTTTACGAGCAGAATTTTAGTCTTATACCGGTGTCGGTTTAAAGACAATAGTATTTCTCAGCCAGAAAACAAAAATTTTTCAAACAGATACGCAATTTTCTTCGATATTAGGTGGCGATTCGATTGATGTAAGAATATTGAGGAAAAATTTTCAAATAAAAGACAACATCGGTTTGCAGGAGAAGGGTATCACTATGTCATTTTTTTTTATCATTATTGATCGTACGGAAATCCATTAACATGTTCGAACTTATTCCAAGTCACTCAAACTTACATGGTAATACTTACTTTGAAGTGCTGAATCCAAGTAAAATAGTTTTAGAAAATTATTATGAGTGTAAAGGGATGAAATTTTGAATTTTTTTCCAAAATGGTCATTTGTCCATTTTTTACGCATGTTTTAGTGTTTTTAAGATTTTATACCCAAAATTTGATCAAAACACAATAAAAAAATACATATCAACAAGCTCTATCAAATCATGTGTAAATCAAGAAAAAAATTTTTGCTCCGTTTTTGCATTTGGAGCACCTTACTGAAAATGAGGGAAAGGTGGTTCGCAATTCTGTTTCCAAAATATCATGTTGAGATTAAAGATGCCATATATTTCAATACTTAAGCAAAACAATATTATACATATATACTTAGATTTAAGAACTTTGTATCTATCTGATGGTTAAACGGTTCCAGTAACAGATCTTATTCTTTGGAAAAAAGCATCCTATTGAACATTGTACCAAGATGTTAGGGTGTGTTGACTGTATTGTGTGAAAAACACTCTTCTTACTAACGATTGTCTCCTATTTTTTCAGCGGATATTATCTATTTCTTTCTCGTTTTACTCGTGTAGAATAGGTGAAATACACTAGTTTACTAACAATTTATTGGGCACAAATGAATTAAAACTTAGGATTCTCGACGAGACTACCAAAAACTATGACTTGGTTTTTTTAGATGCATAATACAAGATTCTCTTTTGTAACCTATAAACGATAAGACAAAATAGAAGACTCTGGCTCTTCTAATGTATCGATAGCATTACAAAAAAAGAAAACAATTGAACTTCAAATTTTTTCTATTGTTCGTATCTTATTAATATTATTAATTATTGAAATAATTATTAAACAAAAAAAGAAGAATTTTCTAATTGGATTTCAAAACAATTTAATTTTTCGTAAAATAATTTATTCAAATCAAATGAATATCTTATTTTTAATATATTGGCAAATTATTTAGTGAATTGTTCTTTTTCTTGTTTCATTTGTATCTTAAATGAACCAAATGATACGTATTTTATTAATGTTAATCATTGATTCGTCATTGTAAAGTATATTTTCACTTCGATCAATCGAAAAGCTATTAACTCAATTTTCTAGTAATTACTTACTTGATTAATGACCTTCATTCGACTTGAATTCGTTTAAACATTATCACATCAGTACAAAACAAATATATCTCGAAGGTTAGCAGAATTTTTTCATGATAAAAAGAACTTATTCAACAAGAAATCATAAATAAGTTTATTTAGAACGAAGTCAAGATACAAAATGGAACTTTTCGTTCAACTTGGTTATTTCACGATTTTTCGAAATTGTGTGCTATAAAGCAAGTCATAAATAAAGATTTCATTCACAATCAATTCGATTGTAGGAACGTGAGCAATTTTGATCGGCACGGCCATTTCAATTGCCTATCAACGGTATCTTAAAACAAACAAAAATATGGTTTCTTTACTAATCAAAGAATTATTGGTATATAAATAATTCTTTTTGTATGACTGAGTTTTGTTTTATCTATAAACTCTACCGTCGATTATCGATACACCGACAAGTCTTTTTCAGTCAAAAGTTAAAAAATTATTGAAATAGTTAAAAGATCTGATTGATACCTATTTCAAGTATGCAAATTGTTTTTCAACATTTATTTTTTCTTAAATTAGAGAAAATAATGAAATCAAGCGCAGAAAACTCATAATATGTTGTTATCTTCCAGTTATTTTCTAATAGAAATCATTCTCAACTATTGTCTTAAGAAAAACCAAGGTTATGATCCTTCTCAAGATTGAACAATTAAAAGTTTCTTATTTTAATACATCATTCTATTCTTAAATATTGTCATAAATGACTTCTGATATGTTAAAAATTGTACTAGTACATTCATGCTCAAATAGTCATATCTGATTCCTTTTCATATAAAAAAGAAATAAGAAATCCGCAATTGAATACTTACAGTCCATAGTATTGAGCTCACTATAATAAATAAAAACCACTTGATGATGATTATATTCTAGTCTACTAAAATATTTTGCTTATTTTACATAGCAAATAATCAGTAGATCGAGAGATCTGAAAAAAATGGAGATAAAATTAAAATTCATTCATTATATTCAGTTTCTTTCACATAATTTTATTTTTATTTAACTGTAATTAAATTTAATTGATCGATAGCAACAGTTTTTATAGGCCAAAAAAAGAAATTGCATTCAAAGAAGTACGTATCTAAAGACATGTTCTTCCACCAACTTGAAAAAGAAGAGTGAGGATAGAAAAGAGAAAAACAATTCAGAATTGTAGTCATGCCGATGACGACGGCTACTATGCTTCAATCACAATCGTCTCGTATTTGTTTTAAAATAAAATATATGCATGATAAACACAAAGAAAAAACAATGATTAAAAAGAAATAAATTAACGTAAAAAAATTGAAAAAAAGAAACATACTGTATGTAGACAATATTATTTTGTTTTAGTCTGAACCTTTCAAACACATATATATTAATATAATGTTTATCTTTTTATTTTCATAGCAAATGTTAAACGTGAATAATATATAAATTGCTCAATGTTATGAAAAATTTTTTCTACTGTTTTACTCCTCTAATGTTATCGTAAAAATAGGTTTTTTTTTGTCCATACGATACAGGGCTGTGCGAGTCAAGCTATTTTTTCGCGGTCTATTTATTTTTATAAAGAATGCCAACAACAAGTTCTTCATTACAAGATATCTAGTTTCTAATTTTTATTCACGAAAACAAAATTAAGAAAAATCAAACATAGAATAAAATGGCATAACATTCACACTTTGACACACTCTGACCCAATCCTACTGGAACTATTGATACAAATTAATAAAAATTCAATTATTTTATAATTCATTTATTTCGAATTAGTAAGTTTTAAGTCAAAGTTTTCTGGCTTCCCCTCTCCATTACAGACCTTAGCAACTCTACCGAAGGAAAAAGAAAAAAGTTCTGTTTGAAATGCAGAAATAAAACAACTCATTGCCTACGAAAGTTTTCATTTGACATCTTTTTGTATAAGTTTAATGAGACTAAAGAATTCATGTGAGTGCCACATTTCAGCCTCAAAGAGGCTGTGCTAATAAGTTTTATTAGTATCAATATTGAGTATTTCTTCATAGATCCAATCTTAAAAAAGTAGAATGGAAGTCAACTAAAAATTCTAAAAACAAAATAACATTTGCAAAGAAAATGATTATCTATACAAACGAATTCTTTATAAATCATAAAATAATACGACGAATTTTTCTTTGATGGACATT